CAGGGTGGGACGGGACGACGATGACAACCTGTGTGTGGAGAGAGGGGAGCTTTTCATTGAACTGTATTACATTTCTTTTGTTAGTTGTGCTACCTGCAGTCAAACTGAGATATGTAGTTAGTCTTCATGTTTTTGTTTAAAAATGTGGGCATAAAGGAAAAGGAACAATCATTTCCGATTTTGCCAGTGGTGCACATAATACTACTTTCAAGTTCCCTACTTCTCCTCTCCTAACGCATTATGTTATTAATCAACATTATGAGAAAAGTCCATTAAATTATCAAGAATAATTAGAAGATTACTATACTTAAACCAATGTTTTTATCATTTGATATATAACAAAAGGAGAGATTACAGGAAAATATGCATGACAATGTGGTTGGTTGTGTTTGAATACTGAATGTTTTGCTTAGTCTTAAATAATGCAGTTAACAGTTTTTAGTTAAAAAACCCCCAAACTTCTGAAAGGCGTTGTTATACTTTGTGAGCTATAAAATGCTATTATTGCAAATTTTTTCATCCAATGAGTACACAGGTGCCTAAGAATAAATTTTGTACTCTTGGAAAATCAATATGCCTTTTGTTAGAGGTATATGCATAGTTATATACACAAGCTGGATTATTTTAATTAATTTTAATGACACTTACTTACAGCATGATGTTGATCACCAACAGCCACCTATGCCCATCTCAGCCAGTGATTTCCAGTGCAGTGCTCTGCCATAGTTCTCCATCCAGTCTGGATAAGCCACTAATTCCTATCAAAAATGAAGAGTAGAATATCTACAAAGTAATTTGCCTTTCTTCTTCTTCTGAATACATCATAGATTCAGTTGAGTTATGTCCTGGGCCCTTATTTACAAATGATATCTACACAGTCTATAAATAATCGCTGGCTGAAAAGTCTGTGAGGTTTAGGTACATGATGCGTATACCCCAACTGGAATGAGCATGTTAAAAGCATCTTAAAGAATTCACAGTGGTAAATTCTTGCAGCTAGTAAGACAAGTTGCTTCTTATTCTGTCTCCTTGTTAAGAAAATTCATATTTAGTTGTAGATACCATAGTTTAAATGAATAATCTCAAGTAACATTCTTGATGCATTTATAATTCACACTATTAATAATAGTATGGTGTTTACTTATTTTTGTTACTTTAATTCACAAAGAGAATGTGTCTGAGAAAGCAGAAAAAAAGCGGTAAACTACAACTCATTTTTTTGTATATCGCATCCATGTGGGAGAAGTATACTGCTACATCTGTGTACACCATCTTGGTGTATCTGTTGATCCCTGTTTCTTCAAATATCTGCACATGTGAAACACACTCTGTACATGGTTAACATACTTTGTATATAGACTAGGAACTTAGTAAACAGATCTAATTTATCATAAATAACAAAAGCTCTCATATGGTAGTGCATCAGAAGTTAGTGTTTAAAATTTTAAGCCTTAAAAAGCAGTGTTTACAGTGTTACAGATCAGCACTTTAATCGTTATTGACTGATGTGAAGTAAAGCTAGCTATGTCACCAGTGTCACTCGATTTTTCACTTGATGAGCATAATTTTCAGCTTAGTAATTACCAATGTTGAAATACTATATATATATATATAAAAAATATAATTTATAGACACGTAATTTTCAGGGGGTTAGTGAATGTATGAATCTGAAATACTCTGTTTTCAATAGTCTGTTTTTCTGAGATTTTTTTTTTTTTTTTTTTTTTCCTGCACTTGTGTATTTCTTTTCCAGTCTTCTGGTAGGGAATATCTGTAGGTGATTTTGGACTAGTGACTGGTAATAGTCACTTGATAATGATAAAAAGTGTTAGATACTGAATTTTTGTTTCCATAACTGTATTAAACTGTGGTATTTGAAATAATTTTTACCTTCTCTGGAGCAGCTTGCTAAAGATCTGCTTCCCTAAAATATAATTGTGTGCTAAAACTGTGTTGGGTGGTCTATAGGAGTGCAAGTAAAAATAATGGAGTGATGTTAAGCAAAGGAAAATGTAGGCACATTATTGGGAAATATGTTCTGACGTTGAAATTTGTTTTACTGCTGAAGTGTTTGCCAGAGGAAGTGGTAGCAGCCCCATTGCGTCAGTCACTTGAAAACAGACTGGACAAAGGAA